GGGATTATTCTTGTTTGAAAGATATTATGTCCAAGAAACCTTATTTTAGTTTGAAAAAGGTTATTTTCTTAGCTGAAACAACCAAACCTGCACTCTTTATAGCTTTATAAAAGATATTTAGATGTTTCCAATACTGGTCAATGTTTTCAGAATAAGCAAGGACATTGTCAATGTAAACAATAATAAATCCGGTATAAGGATTGAAAATGTCATTCATAATATTTTGAAATTTTGAAGGGTAATTTTTCAACCCGAAAGGCATCATATTCCATTCATAATGTCCAAAAGGGACATTAAATGTTGTTTTATACCTATCTTTTTCTATTATTTGGATTTGCCAATACCTTGATTTTAAATCAAATTTTGAGAAAATACAGGCATTGACAAGCTTGTCTAAAAGATCCTTTTTATTTGGAATAGGATAACGGATCTACCTCAGTGTTTTATTTATGACTAGTCGAGGTGCTCTTCTTTCAATTTCTGAAGCTTTTTCCACATAAAAAGCTGCACAGGTCCAAGGTGAAGAACTTTTCCTAATCTGGTTCGTATCAAGAAGTTCTTTTATCTCAGTTTTACAGATATCCAGGAGCCTACTTTTCATTTGTATGGTTCTAGCCTTAGTAGGAATTTTTTGCTCATTAAAGCCAGGTTCATACAGAAGTTCTACGATATGTTGCTCTCTATTCCAAAAGGCATTGGGAATGTCAGCACAAACTTCTCTTTCTAACATTTTTCTGAAATTATTGATTTTACCTTTTATTTGAGGTAAAGTTAAATTTCATCAATAATCTTATGTTTAACCTCTTCTTTTAGATCGAAGAGGAATTTCTCTTTAGTAGAGATTTTGTTTTTAATGTTATTTATTTCATGAACTTTGGGTTTATCAATGAAGTCAAATTTTACTTCATGCCCTTCAATATCAGCTTTTATCCCAGTATTATCAATTTTGATAGGATAGAGCATATTTAAGAAAGGAGTTTCAAGAATGACAAGTTGGCTTAAACCTTTGACCATTATAAAAGGAAATTTAAAACATGCACCATTGTTGCATATTGCTGCATCAGACTGTTTGTAATTTATTATCATTTTACTACCATCAACAGTATTTAACACCTGTGTTGTTTTGCTAAAATATTTGGTTGGAACTAAACCTTCATTTATGCAATTTAGATCTGCTCTTGAATCTATAAGAGCAGTGGTCTAAAAAGTGTATTTTTTTTGCACCACTATTTTTACAATGGTAAACCATCTTTGGGTTATTACTTTATCTTAGAGGTTAACATATTTATAAATGTGTAACTGTCTCAGCATATTACACTTATTTGAAGTTTGAGGATCATCTATCACTTTTGGGAGTGTATCTTCAATTTCGGGTGGTAAAACATTGTGATTATAATCATGTATTAGATTATTAAATTTTTCCTCAGCATTTTCATTACCACTTTCTTTTTCAGTGGTTGCCATCTCTAGAACCTGTACTCTGGTTTTTAGAGTTATAAGTTCATTCATTTATCTCATTTTTTAGATAAGGAATTGTAGGTTCTTTGTGGATTTGAGTTTTATTTTGAATTCTTTTTAGGATATCCATAAAACTATAATCTTCTCTAGTAGGGACAAGAAAAGGTTTAGAAGAACTAGAATGTTCTTTGGTCATATTGATATAAAGCATCAAGGCTTCTCTTTTGGCCTCGGGACCATTTATTTTATCAATTAAATCAATGATTAGATTTTCTTCTGTGAGTGTATTTAAGAAACCACAATGCCAGAGTCTACATTAGGGTTTTCTTCAGAATCTATTTCAGAGTCTGAACTTGAAAAAATTAAATCTTCATCATTTATTTCTCCGATATGTAATTCTTCATCAGAGTCAGAAGATTCCTCATACACATCCCTTTTAATTAATAAAATATCGAATAATTGCTTTTTGATCTCAAGGTCTATTTCAAGAGCATTTAGTTTCCTTTTTACTTTACATTTATTTTTATAATGTCCAACTTTCCCATAGTTGTAACAAACTGGTATTTTTCTCTTCCCCTTTTGTTTAAAAGAGTGATCATGTAAAATTTTTTGGGAAAAGTATTTTTCTTTTCTCTTTTATATTTAGACTTAGATTTTATAGAGTCTATATTTTTGTTTGTGAGTAGGTTTTGAAGTTGGTAAAGTATTAAACCCAAATTGCTCACAAAAGTCGCCTAATTCCTTTTTCCCCGTCATTCTCTGTTTTTCTAATTGTCTCTTCAATTTCATGTCTGTGCATAATGCAAGACCTTCAGCACAGAGCCCTGCTGAGAGTTCTCCAAGAGTATATAAGGAATAGGGTATAATTCCTCCATGTTTATCTTTTAATCTTATTTTAACCTTTTCAGCAAAAAGATTAGGAAGTCAAGCAATGAATTTTTCTTTCCAATAGTCAGCTTTACTGTTCTCTCTGGATAGCAGTTTGAAGTAAAATACATCTTTATACCATTTAAAATGTGAGAGAGTTGGGCAACGTTAAGTTTGAAAGTAAATCCTCAGATCTAGTAGATAAGAAGGCTGTACTTCCCACAAAATGAAGTGTAATGGTATATATTATCTTGTTAACTGCATCTCCCTCAGTTACTAAATTTTTCAGGACCTGTTCTCTAAGCTATCCGGTAAATCCACATATAATGGCTTTAGCAATTTCCTGGTCTTGATTCCCACTTGCTTTACATGCGGTGGCATACATAGTCATACTGATTTTCAGACATCCCATCTATATTCCAGTTTACTATGGATCTTCCTGAATAGGAAACTGAACTGGCAATTAGGTCTTCCTCTATCTGAAGATCTACAGGAGTTGGTCTAGGATAATACATTCTAGTTGGTGCAACTGGCCTAGTTTTTCTCCCATAATCAATCCTATTAATCTCTAAGCTTTCTGGTTTAAAAGTTTTTTCTATTTCAGATATCTCTAGAGTTGAAAAACTTGTCTTCTTGAAGGACTTGCACATCACTTTTCTTCCCTTTTATAACTAATTTTTCAAGTCGTTTTACCATTCATTTACTAATTCTTTATTATCCTCTTTCTTTTTTATTCCTTGTAGGTTGATTTTTCCTACCGTAATACTAGGAGGTGATTTGAATAGAATTGCCCCTTTATCTCTTCTTCTTTCTTCTTCTGGTGTTGAGGTTTTATTGTGTTTAGGACATTCTCTATCCTATTAGTTTGTTTTCCTATGGTCTGTAGGAAAAGATTCGTATAATTATTTTGCCCTATTATGTGGGGTATGACTTCAATTTTATCCATCTGGTTCTCAGAATCTTTTGGTCTAATTTTGAAAGGTGAGGCTTTTATTTGTTGTTTTTCTCCTGTCAACTGTAAGCTAGTTTCAGGAGGATGGATAGCTTCAATGCTTTCTCCTTTAACTGTGTGAAAAGTTTGAAAAGTAATTTAGACAGTGTTAACCTGGGTATTTACTTGAAATTCTGGGTATTTTGTTCCTTCTTTTTAAAGTATATATCTTAGCCATTTGAAAAACCTTACATTTGTTTTATGTTGTAACATGAATGTATTAAATTTTATATGAAAAATTTCTTTTAATCTTTCATTAAATTCTTGAAGGAACGATTCTCTTATTTGTTTATTTTCATTAGAGGGAAAATCCTTTTTAACCCATTCGTTTCCTATTGTAAAGTCATTTTGAGTTTGGATTGTCAGAATTTCAAAATCGAATTCAGACATGGTAGGTTCTTCTTGCTCAGTTTTGGTATCAGAGCCAAGTTGTATTCAGTGGTGAATTGAACCTACTTGCACATTTAAATCTGGTCAATAAACCCTACAAGTCGTTGTGACCCAAAGACCACCGTGAGCCAGGAAGGCCATAAGGTGCAGTATATATATATATATATATGGAAGAGACTACAAAATGCCTATAGACAAAAATTAAAAGTATTTTTCGGACGGCGTGGATTAAAGACCATCACGGACATAGCAAGTTCGTGACGGGATTTTTTTCCACTCAAATTTAACCCAAAAAATATGGGGGGACTGCCACGGCTCCCGTAGTTCCATCGCGGTTTTTAGGCAAAACCATCACGGACATGACGGGGTTGAAATACTGTAGCACTTCCCCTATAGGCATTTTTAAGACTTTTTCCATATATATATATATATATATTTATGCTGATTCCTACTTTTCGATGCTTGAAGAATCCTACACCCTGTGTCTAACATCTCTACACACGTACCCATATCCATGCAAACATGGTATGCCACATTAGATCATATTTGAGCTATAGATCGTATTTGGACAAAATGGAACTTATATATGGGAAGGTTTAATTGGCCAATATAGATGGTATATCACGAATGGTCTGTTATCAATTTATTAGGTGATGAATTGGACATACCACATCAGATTTGTGGATTGCCCAGGTATATTTGGAATCTCCCATGGCTTCCTCCACTTCTTCTCTTGATCTCGTCTTACCCCTATTACCTGTTATCTCCATAGTCTTCTTCATCTGCTTCCCCTACCCCTCACCAACTTGTCTTTTCTCCCATTAATGATATGTCTATCTGTTTGTGGTCTGTGAGCGTATGATGATGCATGCTATTCCATAGGATTGAAAGCTGAATTATGTGAAAAACCATGATTCATTTGTTTTGCTATTTGTAATGTCTTTAAATAATATCTTGAAATAACCATGGATCTTGATTGTGGGTGCCTGAAGGCCACCTGAAAAGATCAATTGAAAATGAAATGAATTGGCACGATGGAGCATTAATGAATTTGAGCTTTTGATTGAAGAATTGGCACGATGTATGCTTCTTGTTATCCAACTGTAAAGCATTAATGAAATGAATTGGCGTGATGTATGCTTCTTGTTACCCAACTGTAAAGAGCCGCAACATTAAAGGATCGAGGAAATCATGGGAAACATTATTGAGTTGGATTGTTTAGTTTCTGATTGGGATGTTCTATATCAGTAGTGTTTTTATATCAAATAAAATATTTTTGTATTCATCAATGCAGGTTTTTGGTGAGAAAGCATTTGAGAAATTTGGAAAGGGGTTCATTTCATTTCATTTTTCAGATCAACATGCTGGGTCTCACAGGAAGATGCTTGTGTTCAAATTTTCTCTCCCTAATGCCAACAACATGGCTGACATGACACGGCTGGTGGCCCTTGTTCCATATTACATTGATCTTGTTGGACGCTACAAGCTCAGTTCTCAGGTCTGTTCTTATGCACATTTACTCATAATAATAATGTACATAATCTGTCTTTTTCCTTTCGTGCGGATTCATTTTATTAATGGAAAGTAGGAAAACAGTGCCCAAAAGATCAGCATAAATTGTCTGGGTGATCCAGAACTTTTGGAATGTGACAGACCAGTTTTTCCCTTAGAGGACCATCCATCCCCAGTTGGTGTGTATACCTGGATAACATAGTTCATAAGAAGCAATACTCTACAAACACCCGAATCAATTTATTCAGTTCTTTTTGTTTTTTCTTTTTTTTGGTCCTGTCAAAACATGTTGCATCTACAAACTTGAGCCTGCACCTACCAATTTATGCAAGTGTTCCAGTCGCTGCTTTGTTATTTGTACTTCTATTCATGTAAGCTCAGCCTCAAACACTTCTGCATACCAAGTTGAGCTTGTCTTTTTGCTTTCTTTTATTGGTTTCCATTTAACTATGAATTATAAGTAAGGTTTGAGACTTAAATTGTATCCATGGAGCATGCAGGCTAGATCGAAAACAGAGGCAGCTAGGGCAAAGGCAGCTCAAGAGATTTATAAAGAGCTCCAAAATGTGAGGCAAGAAGCCATCCAAAGGAAGAAGGCTGAGAGGAGGAAGCTCATGGAGGAGGCAGAGGCAAAGCTCAGTGCAGAGGCACTTCGTAAGAAGGAAGAGAAGGAGAGGGCTCGCCAACTCAAGAAAACTATGCCAAAGGTCAAGATGACACGTGCTCATTAGCCTTTCCCCAAACACATGGAAAATGTAGTTGGTAGTCTTGTAGACTTGTTATCTCTCCCTCTCTCTCTCTCTCTAGCTTTTCAGAGTAGATGCTTTAAGTCGAGCATTCTCACCTGTTTTTTTCAGAGTTGATGCTTGAGTTTTGGCATTCTCACCTCTTTTTTTCTGTTCAGAGTTGATGCTTGAGTTTTAGCATTCTTACCTATCTTAGATTTATCCTGTCTTTTCCCTGTATCACGCCAATTGTACTTTCGTAGGCTAATGGGGCTACTGGACTATTGCTTACTGAAACTTCGAGCAATCATTCTGTAACCGTAAGAGGGGATTTTATTCTGTGAATCAAAACATAAGTGAGTGGTCTTGAAAAGTTTACACTGCGAATGCTTAATAATGAAACCTATGGATGTGTAAGCATCTGTGAATGGTGGATTGGGTAGATGTGTGTGCAGTTAGATGTATTTGTTCATGGATATAGGCCTTGTTCATTGGCAAGGATATAAAGGGTATTAGGAGGTTAGGGCGTTCTGCCAGGTCTTGAAGGCTTATTATACTGTTTTTCATGCGCACATTATACCTCTAGTTTTGTGATCAAACAGGCGATGTATTTATGTGCTTATTATCTCTCTCTCTCTCTCTCTCTCGTCTGGCGGGATCTGGTCTCCTGCAGGCAAAACAACGCGTTAGGAGGATTTGTCCAGCCCTGTCATAAAACCCAAATTATGTGATTTAGATAAAGGAAAAGTTTATATAAGATTGCAACCTTAAAATGTGGAATTACAGATGCACTTCAAAAATCCATCGGAAAAGGTTGTTTTAGTCTTGAAAAACCCTCTAATTGATAATCTTGACATTGAGATGTATGAATATGAAAAAACAAAATATTTTGAGTCTTGGAACTAGTGCATCTTGCAATATACTATTTAAACCGTTTATTTTCAAGATTTTTATATATTTATGAATTTATTGATATTAATCATTTTTAGAATTTAAAAATTTATAATTAAATATACAAATAGATTTTTAGATAATCTTAAGAGTTTTTTATACTAAAATTGCATGTTATGATAAAATTTGGAGGTGTTAAGCCGTTTATATTCAAGATTTTTATATATTTATGGATTTATTGATTTTAATCATTTTTAGAATTTAAAAATTTATAATTAAATATAAAAATAGATTTTTAGATAATCTTAAGAATTATTTATACTAAAATTGCATGTTATGATAAAATTTGGAGGTGCGCCGTAATTGGCTGGTTTAAGGTTGCAAAACCACAAACCACACCTTTTAGATAATCGGATGCTAAAAAGTGCTCAAGACCAATAATATGATTTGGATGCTAATGGGACAAAGGGTGATCTCCAAAAGAATAATGAATAGCCATTCCAAAATTGGGGCTGGGGTGCAACTTGCCTACAGGGAAGCCCCTATGCATATGCCAAATTTGGTGTTATGCAAATTATCTTAGGGCCTCGATCTAACTCTAATGGGCAGCTTGTATTCTTTGCTGTAGCCGGGTCGTTAAATTAGTGCCTAAGTTAGTGAAGTGAGAGGGGATATGTACGTCTTTTTTTTGTGGGAGGGAGATAAATGTTTTCCTTCGTTTTGAATTTTGTTTTCCCTTTAGAAAAATTGTTTTCTCTCTTAAAAATAAGGGGCCCAATTGTTTTGGTTACACAAGGCCGCTAGGAATGTATCGATTCTCAACAAATTGTGATCACTCTAGAAACTAAGGGCCCTTGGCGACACGAGACCACCAGGAGTGCATCAGTCGTTGAAAGCAGTGTTGAACACAGTCCATTTTAGCTTTGGCTGAGACGGTGAGCTATATGGGGCAACTTGTCCATGCGAGTTCTTATGTATGTATTTATAGTACATGAAATAGGACTCGGGCAAAATTCGTCTTGTATCCTGGAGAGTTCCTACAATACTCGACCAAATACTATTACTTTTAAAGTGTAGATTTCTACCCCGTCTTCATCTCTCTCTCTCAAGGGATGCAAATTTGACTCTCACTCTCTCTTCATCACGCTCTCAAGGGATGCAAATCTGACTCTCTCTTAGGGCGTGTGTGTTTTTCTGAAAGTATTCTTTCAGATTTTAAAAAAGTTATGTGTTTGTTTTTCACTTTTTATGAAAAGTTCATAAAGTAATATTTCAACAAAAGTTCTCATTCCTTTGTTAAAAAGTGAAAGATTAAGTTTCTAAGAGGTAGGAACTTAATATTTCATAACTTTTTAGTTGATCACTATTTACTATGCACAATATAATATAATATTACTATAACATACTATTATATAATATAATATTATAATTTATAATTTATAATATAATATATTATTATATATTTATTTTATTAATATAATTTATATTATATAGTATATAATAAAGAAATTATCGCTAATATACCCATATTTTCAAGAAATTGAAAAAAAAAAAACCAACTTCCCAAAATCTCACCCACACCCTTTTGCCCCATTTTCATAAAATTTCGGATGAAAATGCCTTTTACAGTAATCGTTGTACCATAAAAACAATTACGGTCCTTTTATATAAGAACATTACGGTACTAATGCTCATTACGATATTCTTAGTACCGTAATGTTTTTTTAAACCAATACGGTTTTAGTACCGTAATGGTTTTTAAATTATCGATTTATCCTAATCTTGGGCTATTACGATACTCTTAGTACGGTAATGTGTTTTAAGATAATTACGGTCACAAAAATACCATAATGGTCCATAGTCCATTGGAATTCCAGTGGACTTTGGACCATTACGGTACTAAAAGTAACGTAATGGTTTTTTGTTTTTCCTTATCTTGGAGCGTTACGGTACTCTTAGTACCGTAATGTTATTTAAAACCATTACGGTACTAAAAGTATCGAATGATTTTTTTTTTTTCTTAATTATATCGATTGACCAATCAATGTTTTTACGGTACAACTACCGTAAAGGGCATTTTCGGTCGAAATTTCATGAAAATGGGACAAAAAGGTGTGGGTGAGGTTTTGGGAAGTTAGGTTTTTTTTCCAATTTCTTGAAAATATGGGTATATTAGTGATAATTTCCTTATATAATATATAGTATATAAATATTATATATATTTATTATAATGAATAAAAATTATATATAATATAACAATATCTTATATTATATTAAATGTTATAAATAATACAAATATACATTAATAAAATATATAAAATATATTATATATTCTATTATGTTATATATTTATATTTATATGGTTAATATGTATATGTTATCAAACACAATACCTATAACTTTCTTAACATTCCAGAAGGTTATCAAACACAGAACTTATTTCAACCAATGTTGTCAGATTCGTTTCGGAACCTTCTTCAATTTGGTCCGTAAAATGAAGCAATACGGTGTTTTGGTTAACTCAGAGGAAGACTTCAAACTTTTTTAAAAAACATAATATAAATAAAATATATAATTGTATATAAAAATATATTAAAATAAAAAATAAAAAAATTATAAAAATAAAGAAAACAATCCATTCAATTTATTTTATCACTTGAGTAATTGAGGGTATATTTATATATCACGTGAGGAGATAGTCCTTTAACAAGAGAAGTGAAGGTTGAAAAATTAATTTATTGACAAGAGGGGCAAGTTATTTATTATTTTAATAAAAATAAAAACAAGAGGGTCACGTGGAGGTTGAAACCATTGGGTTTTAGGTTTACCTCGTCCTCCTAATTCCCTCTCTTGATAAAATTTGGGTCCCCGCGCTCTCACCCTTGGACGACGAAAATATCGCGCCAAAATACCTCTATATTCACTTCGTTCCGGTGGTGACGGAAAATCTGAAGGCTTCGAGTATGTTGTTTGAAGCGAGTTGAATTTAATAACCTTATTTTAAATATTTCAGAACAAAACATTCAATTTTATAAAAGATTTAAAAATACTTAACTGTTTAGAAGATATCTTTCAAAAAAACAAATGCATTATTAAAGTGGGGCAGAATCAGAATCTCCCCTTCTCTTATTTTCTCTATTCCTAGGTGCTCTCTCTTCCCAAATCTATTTCCCTTTTATTTTATTTTTCTATTTTTGGGGGATTTGTGTTCTTTTACTTATTCTAAGGTGCATTCACTGAAAGTTGGATTTATATGATTTAGCTAGTGAATATATATATATATATATATATATTTAAAAAAAATCTTCTCTTTTTTTTTCTTTTTCGGCTTAGATCACTCACAAGTAGTCTATTACAATAAATTATCTTGAAAAGAAATAAAGAAAACAAATCTAAGATCTATACCTTGATGCTATTAAGACATATATTTTATTAATAAAAAAAAACTACAGCAATATGTTTCGGAATAATAAAAAACATAAAACATTGAAACAAGAAATAAATATAGCATGAAACGAGAAAGTGAATACTGGAGATTATCTCAACCGAGCTTATCACATCCCACATTGAATCACCACCTTCCCATGGCGTGGGATCAATGGTCAACATTCAATCTTAATCATAAGAAAGTAAATAAGTCAAACCCTGCCATGGAATAACAACTCATAACACAATGATCAAATCTCAAACCAAGGCTTATCCCTTGATAACTTAGTTGAGAGATATAGCATATCATTACTAAACCCTTAATCCTTTGAGTCATGTGAGAGACTAGAGATGAGAGAGAGATAATCACAATGAGTGGGGCGTGCCTCTCTTGAAGCATGGGAGAGAGAGAGCTTGTCTACTAGGGACGTGCCCCTCTAAAGCATATGAGAGAGAGAAGAGATTAGATGTGTGAGATATGGGAGAGGGCACCTTTTTATATAATACTTGAAGGGGGTAAGGGTTGCTATATGATTTGCCTCTTAACTGAGATTGAATATGCACCATTGATTTAGGGTAATTTGTAGGGTTAGAGATATGAGCCATTTATTTCATAGATTAGCCATCAAGATTATATGGAAGGTGCTAGAACCTTATCCTTCATTTTTTAAACCAATTTCTCATGAATTAAATTAAATAAAAAAATATCAATAATAAAGCAATGATCCAATGCAACGGTTGTATCATAGTATCATGCAATGACACTTCTAAAAAACCACGTTTATGGTATTTGTATGACCCCAAATTTTGCACACACACTCTCTTCATCTCAATATCAATCCCCCCATTAAAACAAAAGTTCAATTTGAACCCGGGATCTGGTCAAAATGCGTCCACTCCAAAAACGAATCTAGACCATTCATTTTGTGAAGTTCAAGATCCTAGCCTTTATAAACTCAAAATAATTTTTTTCTTTTTTACTATTTTTCATCTAGTGATAATAAAGCCATCCAAAAAAATTGGAAATGAAAGAATCCTTCTAATGCCTAGATCTAAGCATCTCACCAAAATAAACGGCTTATGTTAATTGGGCTAAAAAAATACTTTCTAGCTTGTGTTTTCAATTTTTTCTTTTTTTGTGATTGTTTATTAGAATGAAAAGAGTGTATATTTCAAAATTTGGATCAAACAAATGGTCATAAGATGGTTTTTTAATGTTGTTGCATCATATTACTATACAACGGTTGCATGAAATCATTGCCCTCAATAATAATATTGTGCTTTCTTATTCTCATGCACAAGCCTCTTCACACTTTTCATAATTTGATTTAAACATTCCGTAAAATCAAAATTTTCAAAATATAATATCTTTTCCTTCAAGCAATTAAGCTTGAATCAACAAAATAGAAAGCGAGACGAGGGTGAGGCGTGCCAGGCCATGTGGCACTCCATGGCCCCCACCAAGATGCAATGGTGGGTCGATGTATACTAATAGGCCACCCATGCATAAATAAAATATTTTTAAAATTAATTAATGATTTATATAATTTATAAATTCTACTTGAATATTTAAAACATTGTAAATTCAATATCTCTATTTTATAAATTCAAATTTCATAAATAAAATACTCAAACATTCAGAAAAATTCAAATAAAATTTTTAAAAATTAAATAATATTAAAAGAAATATAATTAAATATTTTTTATGGAATTAGATCCTTATGGTTTAAGAATAATTCAACTTTGGAGCACTCCACATTCTACTGTGGATTATGGTCCACAATCGCTTTCTTAAACTGACCCAGCGGTTCCCATGATCAACAGTCTATCGTAAGGGCTCATGATTGGGCTGCCAAAGTCAGCCAATGGGAAAGAGAACGTAATCCCAGTTTGTGGATTCCAGGTTCTCCCCTAGAGATGTACCAAAGTCATCTAAACCTGATGCGACTACAGCTCTATAGTGTATATGGGTAATCTTTTGCACTTGTACATGTTTCACCCTTAATGATGATTTGCTTTCCCGATATAAATATCATATGTACATGTCGTGTGATAGTATGCGGATGAGGCTTTGGCCCTCATCTCTGAAGGCCATCATCACATACAAGGGCCACATAGTCCGTCGGCTCACTCATCTGGGCATACTTCGATATCATCAAGGGATGATCCATTATAATCCTTATCGGTTTAATCTCTACACCCAAATAACATGGGTTTTTCCAAACTGACTAGCCTAATATGTCAAGCCCAGTCCAGTATCAGCCAGCATCATTTGCTTAGTATGGTCCTATAGTATGGTCCATATAGGACCACACTCCCACTAAGTTCAAGCTCCATTATATCAAAATTTTAATTGCAAGCACTCATAAGTCCCTTAATGGCCACATATACCCAATATTCAGTATATTACTTAGGCTAGTTCACTAGTCATCTGCTATAGTTATTTGGCTCGATCGAGTCATCAAGTATTTCAACACGGATTGAAGGAAAACCAACCTTACCTTCATAAGAGAGAGAGAAAGAGATGCATTAAATCGTGTGCTTGCAAAATTGCTGGGCTCTCACTAAAACGATAAGCTTGTGATAGCTTTTTTTTTTGTCTTTTATTTATGAGATTGTCAACAAAGAGACCATTTATTTTTTGTACATGGGACTCACAATTATTGTTGTCCCTTAAATTTCAAAATGGGTAGTTGTAAGAGTATACACAAAGTTCCAACAAAAAAAATTCTCGAAACCTCGTGACCCATCCCAAGGCATCCAATTTGATGTTTAATGAGTGAGAATGATTGTAACCTCCATGTACAAAAGATAAATGGTCTCTTTTTAAACAATCTTTTTTTTTATATGTTAATGTTGTGAATAGAGGGTGGGACTGAATGCCCCATCACCATTCCCTGATGGCCTTTCCTAGTTTTGTTTGCATTAGGTTGTGATGTGAGAGGAGAAAAAGGATGTAAAAGGGGTATCTCAGTCGATTACTAAGCAAGGTGTGTGAAAGCGTGTAGAAGAGTGGGTGGGGTACATACAAGGAGGCATCTGCACTCTCACTCAATGACTTTAAGCTTGGGAGTCAAAAGGAGACAAGTGAGAAGCATTGCACATATCGAATGATGATTTGATTATCACATTTTTATAGAGTAGTATCCAATAGATGTCAAAGTAGGGAATCCATGGGCCGACTTCCCCTCTCTTGATCCTCCATACAATGGCCCCTTGCTTTAATTATTAATCATTTCATTTGAAATTGGTCCCTCTCTAGGGTCACTCTTCAAATTATCTGCAAGTTTTGGGCTTGAATTGCTTGTGCTGACTTCAACAAAATAACGGGCATCGACCCTATGAGTATGACCAACTTGATTGGGGTGGCTCGGCCGGGCAGGGCTAGGCCTAATAAACCTCGAGAAAAAAAAAAAGGTTGGCCAGGCCCTACTTTTTCAAGGCCAGGCTCGGGCTGTCCGGCCCCTTGCCAGTTCTATATATTTAATTTTTGTCATATATGAAACGCTCTAACAAAGTATCGTCCTCAAACTTATGATTTGTATCAACAAGGTAACATCTTGGTAGAGATTAGCAAAGTATGTAAATGATAAATATTATGAATAAGGAGTTTAATGTGAAGTCAAGACCTCAATATCAAGCAATATAAATATTGATACATGTGTGATATGAGTGTCGAAAACACAAATCTCAAAATTCGCTTTTCAAATACAATAGTCCCGTCATCATTTAAACTATGGGAAGGTAAAATTTTGTCTAGTACTGAGCAATTTCAAAGTAAGATTTTGAGAAGAAAGGTCCAAAAACAGTACAGTGTCGGGCTTCTAAAATACCTTGAACATATGTATTTATGTTACTTGTAGGAATCAAATTTGAGAATGGCTTGGGGTCTTGGTGGTAGTATTGTTGAGCTCTATGATGAGGTTTTTGACTCCATTTTCACCAAAGGATAGGGGCTCAAAAATCCCCATTGACTTTTTACACCGGGCCTAAGCGGTAATACCAATGAGCACCTATGATGAGGCCTTAACGGTAGTACTATGATGAGCCCCTTTTTTGAGACTTACACCTTTTTCGAGAATGGGTTGGGCTTTAGTGGTAGTACCAATGAGCCCCTATGATGAGACTCTACAGGTAGTACCAGTGAGCCCCTATGATGAAGTTGGGTTGGGGCATTAAAGGTAGTACTAATGAGCCCCTATGATGAAATCTCTATTGCATTCTCACCAAAAGGCAGGGCCTAAATCCCCACTGAATTTTTTTTTTTTTTTTGTTAGAATTAAACTTGAAATAGAGCCTTGTGAATATCAAATTATCAATCGGTAACCAGTCAAGCCCAAGCCCGATTCTTTAATTTAATTTGAACTCCTCATCCCTAACAATTCCTCTTTTTAAACTATTTCTCAAAAACTTGGTGTTTTCTTTTTGCCCATGAAAGGTGCAATGACACTCTTGAAAATAGTAGAGGAAAGAAGGGGTTTACTTAGAGTTTAGATGGAGAGAGGATATAACCGTTGAAGGAGAATAAATGAAGGAGCAAAACGCTTGAAATGTGGGCTTCTAGATGCTGTAAGAGGACAAGGCCCCCAAGATCCTCCTCATTTTCAGGGCGGCAGTTTATTCCTCAATCCAAATTTACCACCTGCTCTTTTGTCCCCCTCTCCTTGGTATCTTCCTTTCTTCTTTCAAGCCTTTCCTCCTCAAAATCTCAGACCATCTCTCTCTCTCTATCTATCTGTCTCTCTCTCTCTCCCTCTCCCTCAAATAGAAAAAATTTCCATTTCTCTGTCTAAAATAGAAATCATTAATACAAACATCATTTCATTAATACAAACATCATTGCATGCCCCATATATCCAAAACCCATTTCTCAAAATCTCTCAAATCTTCGTCCAAGATGAAGCAAGAAGAAGGAAATCTTGGTCCTCTTGTTCTCTCTGTCAACACTAAAACATGGTCCCAAATGTTGAAGAATGATCCTTTGCATAAGATTAAAAAGAGAAGGCTTGATATCTTCGATTCACTAGAGGCCCCTGTGTGTGAAGGGGAATTTAATGGGATTTTGCAAATGAGGGAGGAGATGATAAAATTGGGATCAGAAGATCAAGAATTTGATTATAAGAGGGGCCTCCAACTGGTCCATCTCTTACTAAAGTTTGCAACTGCCATTGCGGATAATGACGCCATTGTTGCATTCGAGAACTTGACCCAATTGTATCGGAAAGTCTCTCTGAAAGGCGATTCGATTCAAAGAGTTGCAGCCTATTTTGCCGATGGCTTAGCAGCGAGGCTTCTCACTAAGGAATCCCCTTCGTTTGAATATATCATGAAAGAACCCACGCCCCGAGATGAGTTCATGGCTTTTATAGAGCTCTATAGAATCTCTCCCTTGTATCAATTTGCTCATTTCACTGCGAACCAGGCCATCTTAGAGGCTTTTGAAGGAGAACAAAACAATGAAGTACTTCATGTTGTGGATTTCGATCTCTCCCACGGGCTGCAATGGCCTTCTCTAATTCAATCCCTCTCTCAAATCAAGAACAATACAAGACCAGCCACTCTGAAAATTATTGGTTTATGCAAAACCATGGAGGAATTGGATGAAACAGAACAGAGACTAGCAAACTTTGCCAAGAGTTGTGGTTTAGACTTTGTGTTTGATGGGTTATTACAGAGCTCTAGACCCTCTGACATTAGAGTTGGGAAGAATGAAACCATTGCTGTAAATTTGATGTTTTATCTTCAAACCCTGAATAGCACTTTGGATATTCTAGAATTGATCAAATCGATTAGCAAATTGAACCCTTCGATATTGGTTGTAGTAGAGAATGAAGCGGCTCGAAATTCTCGGACCTTCCTCTCGAGATTCATGGAATCTCTCCACTATTTTGCTGCCCTTTTTGATATGCTCAACGACTTCATGCCTAGTAGAAGCTTTGAGAGGTTGAGCATAGAGAAGAATTTCCTTGGGAAACAGATTAAGAGAGCGATGAACTGCGAAAACGAGAGCAATTTCAGGCATGAGAAGTTGGAGACATGGAAAGGGCGGATGGAGAGATGTGGGTTTAGAGGAATTAATTTGAGTGATAGATGTCTGAGTCAGGCAAAGCTTTTGTTGCAGATCAAGTGCCATTGCTCACAGCTAGTGGACATGGGTGCAGGGAAGGGAGGATTCAAGGTTTTTGAGAGAGAGGGAGGAAGGGCTTTATCTCTAGGATGGCAAGACAAGCATTTGATAACAGCCTCAGCTTGGCATTGTGACAGATGATCTCTCTCTCTCTCTC